ACTGGTCTCCAGCCGCCTACAAAGGCACTTGACCCTTTCCCCATCCTTTCTGAGGAAGCAAACAAACAAATTCCAGACAGTTTCCTACTCAGAGTGACTTAGCCAACATTTGTTCTGTCCTCCCCTTAAGACCCTTCACTGGGGCCCTGGGGTTGGCTCTTAGCCTTGAGGCCTCCTCCCTGCCTGTTTTGCCCCATTTTGCATACAGCTTGTTTTGTTCTCTAAAAATAAGTGTGGTGTGTGTGTGTAGAGCAGTTAGGTGAGGTATATGTTTGTGTAGAGCAGTTAGGTGAAGTGTTTTGTGTGTGTGTCTGTAGAGCAGGTAGGTGTGTGTGTGTGTGTGTGTATATGTGGAGAGCAGTTAGGTGAAATGTGTGTGTGTGTGTGTGTGTGTGTGGAGCAGTTAGGTGAAATGTTTGTGTGTGTGTGTGTATGAATAATTAGGTGAAATTTTTATACCCCCATGTCAGTGATTTTCAACCATGTGCTGCAATAATCATGCAACACCTGACTATTAAGTCAGGAGCGCTGACCTGCTTTCCTTTAGGTTGTCAAATAAAAAAATGACAACAGGCAACACAATAGCTAAACAGTGTGAATGAACCAAAATTATACCTATTCTTTTTTTGTCAGATCAGCAAAAAATATACTTTTGGTGTGCCATGGAGTTTTAGTAACTTACTCATGGTGCTTCAAGGTGGAAAAGGCTGAAAATCCCTGCCCTGGTTAGCCTTCTTAGCGCTCACTGGGACTCAGGGTGGCGCTGCTCTTCCTCCCAGCAGCCGCTCAAGCCAAAGCCTTTTAACTCCCGTTTACAAATGGGGTTACGAAGGCTCCAAGAAGTTAGTCATTTGCCCCAGATCATACGGCTTGTAAGAAGGCAATTCTGCTTCAGACGAGCCTGGCTCCAGGGTTTAAGGTATTAAAAACAACTTGTATAGAATTAACTCTGGCGAAAAGCTTTTTGTTTTCATCTTGGAACTGACGTAAAGATAATGGAATAAGAGCTCAAACACAAATGGCCACTGGGTAAAACCAAACACATCGCTGCTTGGCCTCACGTTCCTCCTCTGTGCAGGTGTGGCCCACTCCAGGCCCAGCCATGCCAGTTGTCAGAGCTACCCACTGCCATCACCCTTGCTTACAAGAGGTGCCAGCCCTCCTACCTCTGGCCCTGTCACCACCCTGCCCACTGTCCTCTGAACCCCACAACCAGAGACAGGGAGCAGATGTACAAAGTATGCAGGAGGCCTGGGCCAGGCCACACCACGGCAGCCCCTTGTTCCTCTCTCCCCTGGCTTGTCCTGAAAGGGCAGAGCCTGTGTCCACACATCCGCACGCACACAACACACTTGTGTACACGCACCTTAAACTCCTTCGGCGTGTATCTCTTGTTAGATCATCCTACCCTATAGGAGCTCTTTGGTGGCCACAGGCTGCTCTGTCATCATCAGACCCCACCAGACAGGCAGTGTTTCCACACCCCCATCTCCATGGCAGTGCCTGCTCGCTATAGATTGTAATAGGAGGGCAAGGCTCTACCCAAGAGGCCTCAGGAAGCCTGCACACTTCCCTGGCCCCAATGGCATGGATCCCACGGCCTGTACACGTGTGGTCACTCAAGCCCCAGTTGGCTCCAGAAGCGGTGCCTGGTCTACAGGAAGTATCAGACCAGGAAGGCTATGGCCTCCACCCACAGAAGCTGCGTCTAGGAGGAAAGACAGACTCAGAAGCAGACAATTACATGTGCTTCTCAGTAGTCCAGGCAGCTCCAGTGCAGCTTTCTAAAATTCAGATAAAAAAGACTCATTCCTTTGCTTAAAACACTTCCAAGACCCCCTTCCCATGGAGTAAAACCCCAAGTCCTTACCGAGTGAGGGGGTTTGCCCTGCAGAGGAGCGAGCTGGATCACCAGTTCCTCCCCACCTGGACGACTGGCCTGTAGCCTCTGAACCTCAGCCCTGCGTCTCTCCCTCTGTACCCCCGACACACCGTCGTCTCTGGCCTGGAACACACCAGTCACTGTCCTGCCCTGGCCCTCCTGTGTCCATGAGGCTCCCCAGTGTCTCACCCTCAGCACACTCTCCTTCTCCCACAGCCTGTATCCGTTCACATCTGGTTTCCTTGCTCACTTTTTCTTCCTCAGTAAAGTGTGAGTTCCCCAAGAACTTCGTCTGTCTTGGTCACCAACACATTCCCAGGGCCTGGCACAGAGCAGAATTTAAATAAATATGTGCCACGTGTGTGAATAAATGTATGAATCCTGCCAGAAGGTTAGTGCTCATTCCGTGCCCCTTTCCTCGCCTTCAAAACGGGGACAGCTCAGTACCTGTGGGGTGAGGGTTAGCAGAGATGACAGAAGTCTGTTTGCTGGTACATGTAGCAGGTGCTCTAACGGGTCAGGACTGGAATGCTTTTGCCACGCAAGAGGAGTGGCAAACCCTTCTGCATGCGAAGAGGTGATGCTGGTTCCTGAAGCATAAATAACCATTCTCCAGTGGGGGCAGAGGCCAGGGAACATGTGGGGCCATAGCCAAGAGGCAGAGGCATGCTGGGAAGGATGAGTGATTCAGAGCACCCAGGGCATGTCAGTGAGGCTGCAGAAGTGGGGCCGGGTCGGGTCTCCTATCTGCCCCAAGGGTCGCAGTCTGCCCTACAACAGTGGGACGGGCTCTACAGCTCATCTGTTCCTCACAGCGGCTATAAGTAGGTGAATCTCCACTAGATTACTGAGGTCAGTTCCTAAGGAAAAGGGAAAACTCACAGCCAGCACTTGGCCCAGCAACATCTGCAGACGCCTTCCCACTCATGATACAAAAAGATCACCCCCCCCCCCCCCGACTTGTGTGTCTGTCCCACGGCCAACAGACTGCTCACACATCCTTCGTGAGCATTTGTCTGAAGGTTCCCAGTCAGCTAGCAGGGCAGACATCATGAGCTCCCTTATCCAAACAGCCTCAGGAAAAGGGAAGGGCAGAGGGGAGAGGGCAAGACAGTGCTGGTGACTGGGGGAGGGGCGAACAGCTTTACACAAACACAAACTCTCACAGACAGGCAGGAGCCAGGGACTCGGGGACCCCACACCCCACATCAGCTCCCTGTACAGTAGTGTTAAGCGACTCGGTATGAGGTCTAGCAGTAGTCTGTGTGTTTGTTAAAGATTTTTAATAGAGAGGAGTTCTAGTCTGCAGAGGACAGAGGCAGACTAAGTAACCCACCCTGAAGGAGGGCCAGCCTTCCTCCTGCTTGTGTATCCAAACATGGCCCATCCACGAAGGGGCAGCCTCTCACCACTGGACCCCTTCCCTGGATCACCCACTCCCTGCTCACTCCCATCCCTGAAGTCCAGTTGCTCTCAGGGTCAGATCAGCCAGTTTTCCAATCTGACTCCTTTGGCTGAAAGCTCCTACTATTAACAAAGTGTATTCATCAAACACTATGCTAGGCTTTCTACATAAACGAGGTAGGTACTGTTATTACACCAATTTTACAGTTGGGGAAACTGAGGCACAGTGAAGTTAAGGAACTTGCCCCAAGGTCACAGGGCTAGGCAGTAGTAGCAAAACACCAGGATTCCAATCCTAGCGGTCTGACGCTTGCTCCTAACCACCAGTCTGTACCCTCCAAAATACTGTCTTCCTCATTAGTATATTAATATATATTATCTTCCTGAGCGTGGGGCACACACAGTAAACACCTATAGGCAGGTTGAATACCCAGGCACCTGGGATTGTGATTCCCATTGGGGTTGATACCAAAGGGCCACTAGATGGCAGCAGAGAGCCAGGCCCAGGCCTCCCTGGGGGAGGTGCGTGTTAAGCTAATTATCATAATATTTGTTTAGTGCATTCTGCACCAGCACTTTGTAGACATTCTTCCTCCTCCTGCTAAGGCCTCCTAACGTGTTATTGCCTGCCCCCTTCACAGGCTCAGAAGGTGGAGATATCTGTCCATATCAGGCAGCTAGGAATACTAGAATGAAGCCAGGACTGCTCAAACCCAAAGCCTGACTGTTAGCCGGAAGTAAACAGGCAGTTGCCTCTAGGCTCAGCACTGGTTCCACACCCTTTTCCTCCAGTCCCGGGGAGCTCAGAAACTACTGTTTGGGGAGGGAGTGGATGGCCCAGGCTGGCCCTGAGGTGGTCACCACCCGACAGGCACGTTGGCTGGGAGGCAAATAAGACTTACCGGTCAGAACTGGGTGGTCTCAGAGACTACTGGGTCACCACAGACCTCTGACCAACTTTCTTGGCCTTTGCCACCAAAAAGGGTGCTGTATGATGTCAGCCTCTGCACAACTCGGCAGCCTGCTTCGGCACTGCCCTCCTGCCCTGCGTCTCAGGCTCCTCAACAAGCCAGCAGGGCCATGGAATCCACAACCACCCGAGATGAATAAAACTGAACGGCTCAGTGACCCTTCCAGCAACTCAAGTCACCTCCACACCTAAACCCACCCCTGGGTGGGACGGGCCTCCCGGTTGGCTGCCCCGCGGTAGGGACGGCAGAGGTGCCAGGCAGTCAGCTGCAGCACGCATAGGGAGCCGCAGCACATGCTTGATCATGCACAGAACGGGAGCCGCGTGCCCATCCTCAGGCCTGCCGGAGTGGCCAGCAGCAGAGTGCAGGGGCTCCAGGCAGCAGAGGGACCATCCAGTGTGACCTTCAGCGTCCGGCGGCATTCCTGGCTGAGTCCACTGGGGCAATGGCTTCAGAATTGCCCATGATGCATCTCTGGGGCTGCTTCCAGCCCGCTTCCCAGACTGCCCCCCCTCTCACTCAGTCCCTCCCAGGGCTCCTACAGCCAGGTGCGGTCCTCTGAAAATACACATCTTGGGTTTATTTGGGGTTGGGCACTGCAGGCTGAGGCACAATTTGTCCCTGGGGAGAAAGGGTCAGCTTGCTCGGCACTTCAAGGGGCTGTCCCTGCAGATCCCCACCCCATGTCCCTGAACACACACACACACACACGTCTCTTCCCCCATCCCTGCTCCCCGAGTCTCTTATTCTTTCACCAGCCGGTAGATGTGGTGTTGAGCCCCGTGTTCGCTGGCTGACACCTCGAAGACATATGCAATGCACAGCAGAGTCTCCTGTGTGTCTCTGTTGGTGACCACCTGTGGGTGAGAGGAAAGGTGAGGGTTAAGGCCCCCGATGAGGGCGCGCCCTCTGCTGGACCCTCCGCCCCGCCCCGCGGCGCCCAGCCCCGCGCCCACACCTGCAGGATGGTGAAGTTCTCCAGCACGCTGTTCATCATGTACTTCTCGGGCAGGTGCTTCAGCTTGTGGATGAAGTTGATCATGTACTCACAGAGCGGGGACCGGTGGATGCGGTAGGAGTAGTGGCCGTTTTCGTAGCGGGCGTACTCTGTCTGCAGGACCCAGGGGACAGCAGGACTTAGGTTCTCTCCGGCCACAGCCAGCCCAGGCCCAGCTGTGGGGGGACGCCCCATGACCCACTGACTCTTAAGTGGAAAGAAAGGCAGAAGGCCTAGAGGCTCTTATGATCAGAGCCTTCCTCCTCCCTCGGTAACAGGGGCTCGATGGCAGCAGAGGAACCATCCACCTTGAGCTCCGATACTCAGAGGTGAGCACGGGAGGAGGAGCGCTTCAAGACAGAGTAGCAGCAACAGGCAAGAGGGGATAGATGACGACTCAGTCCTGACCACACACTAAAGCAACATGGGGAAGGGTGCACAGGAATCCGCGTGGAGGAACTGTCATGTATTAGTGTTGTGTATTCACACACACAGACACACATCTACCGATGAAATCTGAATCAGACTGTAAGTGGCATCAATGTTAATTCCTGGTTGCCCATAGAATTCTGCCCTCTGGGGAACTGGGTGAAGGGTACATGGAATTATAATTGTATGATTGTTCACAATTACTTCAAAACAAAAATTTAATTTAAAGTAAATAACTTGAAGTGCTTTTTACAAACAGCTATTTCCCCCGATTCCACCCTGGAGATGCTGGGGTAAGTGCTGTGAAGTGGGGCTCATGCATTGGAAAGTTTCAAAAGCTCCAGCGATCTAGGTGCAGCCAGGGGTGAGAACACTGGGCAGGGGGTGCCTCCTCCCTGCTACCAGCCCGGCATATGGTCGTGATCAACATGAGGTGGGTTATCAATAACTAAGAGACGGTGAGGGTGAGACTGCATTAGTTCAGGCAAATTTGGGAAAAGCAGAGGGCATGAATGAAGACCAACCTGAAACAGTTTAAAGGTCTGTTTCACAAGTGCACAGGGTACTCCTACCTCCACTTTCTCCACCACCTGCTTGCCGAATGAGCAGACCTTGGTGGAGCAGGTGATTATCATGTTCTCGGGACTCTCGTACTGGCTGGAGACCCCGTAGAAGGAGCTGCCTTCATCCTCCATATTGGTGTTGAGGTCTGCCTGGAGACATGGGAAAGCCAAGCAGCAGACAGGTAAGTGATTGGGAACACGATCGGGGTGGAGACAAGGACCCCTCGGGGGCCCCAGCCCAGGTTCTTGGGCCAGGAAGCAATCAGGAGGCTCTGAATGGAACCTGGACAGTAGGTGGCTGGAACACTCCCACCTTTCTTCTCTTGCACAAGGTGAGGTTCTGCTGCCTGAACTACAGCGAAAAACACTGGGACCTGCATCAGTTACAAGGCAGAAATGTGGACCATGCCTGAAAAAGAACTGGCAGGAAGCTCAAGCGCCTGAGAAAGGCAGGCACCTGTATAGGGTGGGGTGGGGTGGGGGGGAGATGAGGGGGGTGTTGGGAGGGAAGCACAGGGGGGCATCTGAAGGGCCAGGCCAGGACATAAAATGATGTCTCTCAGACTTTAGCCACTGCTGGCCTCCCTTTGTTTTGTGTGTGTTTTTGTGTGTGTTCGTGTTTTAATACATTTTATTGATTTTTTACAGAGAGGAAGAGAGATAGTTAGAAACATCGATGAGAGAAAAACATTGATCAGCTGCCTCTTGCACACCCCCATTGGGGATGCGTCCGCAACCAAGGTACATGCTCTTGACCAGAATCGAACCTGGGACCTTCCAGTCCGCAGGCCGACGCTCTATCCACTGAGCCAAACCGGTTTCGGTATGGCCTCCCTTTGATTAAGGCTACATTCATGTACCACCTATCACAGGTCCTACTATGCCCCTAATGGTTTCTTTTAAATCAACTCACTCTTATTCCCTAACTCCATTCTTGGCAATATAGTCACGAAATCAGAGGTTCTATTTTTCTAATATATATGAAAATAATTGCACTTATTTTCTTTTTTTTTTTTTAAATGTTTATTCATGTGCCACCTAAAAGAACACTATGCACCAAGCTTTGAAAGGGAGAAGAGCCCCTCTCAGGCTCTTCAGATTGTACAAAGGGAGCACTGCCCCAGAACCCCAAAGTGACTGGACATGCCCCTCATCGCCCTCAGCTGGCAAGACCTGTTCAGTTGGCCTTGCCTCTTCCAGATGGTAAGCACCTTGGAGGCAAGAACTAAGATCTCCCCAGGGCTAGGTGCAAGGATGGGCCTTCAACAAGTCACGTGTGGCTGTTCCACCCCTCACCTCTGGGTGGCGCCGGGTGAGAAGAGAGAGGTCCCTTGGTCCCAAGGAGGGACCCTGTAATCTCCTGCTGAGGAGGGGAGTCCTCTCAGCTCCAGCTCTGCCCCAATTCAGATACACACCAGGGCTTCTGCACCTCTCCCCACTCACCTGGCCTTCCAATCAGTCACCGTGTATCCTGCCCAGCCCAGCACAGCGAGGGCAGTGGGGCCCAGAGAGGCTGAAACACCGTCTTTGCTCTCAAAGAACTGAAACTTGTGGGAGAACAAGCAGGATAAGTGAACTGGTTGTCAGGGGTAAGATGGAAGGAAGGGGGCTGGGGAAGACAGAGAACCCACAACGACAATCCAAAGTCTGCCCCGGCACCTGCCCTGTGGTGATGTTGCAGGCCCAGATGCCGGCCAAGGACGCAGACAATGCACCCAGATGCCCCGCCTCGTCCTCAGTGCCTCTTCTTTCCGATTACAACCCCACCCTTCTCCTTCCCACCCCTGTATCCCCCCCAAACAGGCTGCTTCTCTACTCTCTCAGCCTAAGAAGAAAGCTGCCCCCACTACATTACCCTGCAAGGTGCCCCCCACCACTTGCCTTCCTGCCCTCAGAATGCCCCTTGTTCCCTATCTTCCACCCTATTCATAGCTGTGGTGCGGGTGGGCAGCTCACAGGCCGTGCCTGGAACAGGTGTGGGGGATCGGGTGACTGACAGATGAGCCGGACAGCCGTAGCCTGGGTGTGGGGGCTGGAGGGGCTCAGATTCATTGTCATGTGCTGGTATGTGCCTGGGAGAAATGTCAGGGCCCAGAAGGGAACAGCAGACAGTCTGGGGTACTCTCCTCCCTTCGTGGCCTCAGCCCAGCTCTGCCCAGCATTTGCAATTTGCTGACAGGCATTAATGGTCATCAGTGTCCAGGAGTCCCCTCTCTCCGCCCCCCAAGAACAGAGGTGTCCTCTGCTGGTCTCACATGTCCTGGGGAGGAGGTGAGGTCTCAGCTTCTCAGTCCTGCTCCAAACCCCACTGTATGAGTCCAACAGAGCACAGCTCACAATTCAACCCCTCCTGCACCCAGATGCCACTCCCAGCCGGGAACAATTTGTCCTGGCAGTCCACCGAGCCACGGCTGCCATTCCTTCCATAAGAGCAGGCCTCTCAGTGGGACATCAAAGTCCTCCTCTCTCCAGCGAGCTCTCATCTCCCCAGCATGGCTGCACAAGGCCTGGGCGGGAGCAGAAATCTGCCAGGCAGGAGAAGAAAGGGAGACTTCAGGAGAGGGGCACTGTTTCACTGTTTCCTTGCCTTTGTCATTGCCCGTGGCCAGTCTCACACTAGCTGATGGGCCGGGGAGGAGGTGGGCAGGCCAAGGCCCAGGAGATGAGGGTCCAGATGTCTGCAGACGCCAAGCTGCCTGTGAGGACCACATGGCTGGCCCAAAGTCTCTTGGTTTGTGACCAGGCGCAATTCTTTTCCCACATTTGCACTTCCCTGGTGCCTCTGCCTTCCCCACGCAAGAGAAAGAGCAAGGAGGAGATGTCTGCCAAGATGTAGTGGCCACTGACACACCCCCATCTCTGATTTCTCCTGTCCTCACGCTGCCCAAGCCTCTGGCCTACTGCCTCCCTTCACTGCCCATTCCCGCCCCCCCCCCACACCAGGTCCTCAGAGACACAGCCTGTAGCAAGCCCTCAAAAATGAACTTTTCTTTTTTCACATGGAGAAACAGAAACCCAGAGAAGGTGAGGTTTGCTTGTTGAGGCCCAGTGTTGTCCGCCTTGTGCCCCCTGACACTCTGGAAGGGCCATGCGTGGCCACCACGCTCCCCTGCACAGCAGTTCCGGCCCCAGGACCCTGAGATCCATTCTGGATTCTGCCACTCGGAATGTGAGTTCCTGGAAGACGAGGGCCACGTCGGGTCCGCATAGCGCAGGTGGTGTGCACAGCCCACGGCCGGAGCACGGAGGCCAAGCGTGGAAGCTGCCTCATCACATGTCCTGGGCCCCGCTCTTCCCTCCCTCCCTTCTCCTCCCATCAATCCCACCTCCCACCTCCTCACAGAGGCAGAGCGAGGGAGAGGGCATAGGCCACGAGCACAGCTAACAGACAGGACAAGGGACGGCTGGGCTCTAGAAAATCCAAGAAGCCCCACTGCCCAGCTCTACACTGAAGGCACAGGGCTGAGTCTGCTCTCTCTGTGCCGCCAAGATCCAAGTTCCTCAGGGTCTGGGGATCCTTTTCCCGGCAATCAGAGCCTCCTCTGACAGGAGGAGGGGAGCACCAGGATCCTGCATGGAGTACTTGGCAAGGTTTAGTGTAATGGTTCTGAGCTCACACCGTGGAGCCAGACCGCCTGGGATTGAATCCTGGTTCTGCCACTAGGAACCGGGTGAAGCCGGCAAGCCACTTCACCTCTGTGCCTGCCTCCCCGCGATGGAATGCGCCTGTCAATTCGACCTACGCTGGGGGTGTGGTGAGGACAAACATGCTGATGTAGGTGATGTGATGCAAGCAGTGCCCGGGGTCATCTTTCACCGACCACCACACACCTCGCCGAGTGTGGGTACCAAGCCCAGAAAGAGCTCATCCTGGCCGGGTAGCTCAAGGCTGAACCCCTCCTTACTCCATGCCTCAGTCTCCCCCCATGTGTGGCACTGGAAGCCCAGAATGGTCCTCATCTAGATGGTGGCTGGAAGAATGCAGAATATTATCTCCAACTAATAGACGGCAGGAGCCGGTGAAAAGAGCCCCAAATATGCCACCTCCCACTCCACGGTCTTTTCCCATAAATGCCTCCTGCTAACCAGGCCCCCTTCTGACCCTCGGGGTAGCTGAGGCAGTGCTGAGGAGCAGCCCAGATCACATCAACCGAGCTCCTTCTCCTTCTCCGAGTCAAGGCTAAGCCTGGACAGATTTGGGGTTGGGGGAAGGTGGTATAGGTCGAGAAGGGAAGGCCAGAAGCCTCCCTACGCGCAGAGCAGGAAGGGAGCTACCACAATGGCTCTACAGGGACAATGCTTTTCAGCTGCCCACGGTAGAGCCTCCTGGTTCCAATTCCCATGGTCAGGCAGGAAGGGAGAGTAGGGAGAAGAAGTAAGACTGTTTGAGCCCTTTCCGGCTGAGGTCCTAAAGAGACTGCTGTCCCGCCCCGGGCTATGGTATAGCAGTCTCCCACTTGTTTCCAGTCTGAACAGCTGATATACCCAACTAAGCACAACTCTGGCCACGCCATGCCCTGTTCAAACACTTCAGTGATTCCTCATTACCTAAAGAGAAGGGACAGCAGATACACAGTAAAAGTGCCACTGTCTTCCCCCGCTACAGCCGTTGACAGGCATTACCATTCAATCCAGCACTCTCTCTCCACACCCTCTTCAACGCAGCCTTCCAACAACGATGGCCAGGCCACTGCAGTGACACAAGGTTAAACCCATTTTTCTGGACACCCGGTTAAAATGGGTTACAAACCACACAAGTTCATTTTTCCCCTTCCAGACAGCCAACTAGAATGATAGCGAAGAACTTTTAAAAATGTGCTGCACCACAAAGGCGAAGGAAACAGAAAAGAGGCCATAATGACAGAGAGTTCAACAAATTTGAGGAGCCTGAAGGTGGACCAGAACTAGAATGGATTCTGTGGGGCAAAGGAAGCAAAAGGAATTACAAAAGTGCTCTCTGACGGATGACAGACAGGAAGTGAGCTGATGTACTTGAGAGAAGCCTTGAGTGGCTTGGCACTAGAGGGACCAATATAAAACACGAGGAGCTGGCTGAAGACTGTATACAGAGTGGACATAGGGTGGGCAGGCCTCCAGGAGGACCTTTCCCACCCATTAGCAGAGGACGAAAGGGTAATAACCTATAGACA